GAAACTGGAAGACATTTGATGTAGTGTTGAAACTGGAAGACATTTGATGTAGTGTTGAAATTGGAAGACGTCTGACATAATGTTGAAACAGAGACATCATCCCAGAGTCTTTCGAGCGGCTAGTTCGTAAGAGACAGCGTTAAGCTGCCGCCTCACCCGCCAAAACCTCGCTAAACGCCATCGAATCTTCTTTTGGTCGATCGGCCGACGAAAAGATTTCTTGTCTGCGACGACTTTCTGGCGGCGCGCGTAAGTGCGTTCGATCGCTCGCGCGCGCTCGAGAGGCGACGCGTGAAATCTAATTCGCTAATTAGCGCGACGCGTCGTTAACGAGCCTCGCCGCTCGTTAACAGCTTCGGATGTTTTTGACGGTTTTTTTTTTTTCCCAGATTGCCGACGGCGAAGACCGCGCGACCGTGCGCCGACGATGCCGGACCTTGCGTAGAGAGGTCTAGCCACCGAGAGACGTTCGCTTGTTCGGACATGGCGGCGCGACCGGAGCTGCCGACGACGGCGCCACCTGGCGAGAACGACCCGTTGTTTCGTAGTCGGCAGTCGGAGCAAGAGAACGCGCGAGTGGAGAACGGCGAGACGGCGAGCGGGGGGAGGCCACCAGTGGGCGCCACCAAGCCGCCTCGACCGAAGTTTGGCGTGTTGCCAAACAGCGCAGGTAGGTGAGAATGGGCGCGCGTCATACCCCCGCCCAATATCCTCTTCATTCTATGCATCCCCCTCTGTATACTTACTTACTTACTGATCCTCTTGGTCTCCCGATTGGACATAAGGCCACCTTTCTATATACACCCCCTCCATACATCCTAGCATCCTAGTCGGGTAGCTAAAAAAAATGATGATGGGGACATTCCGGATAAAAGCACCAAACTTTTTTCATGTGTTATCCATTACCTTAGCTTTCGATTTTTGATTGGAGCCACTTCACCACGATACAGGAAGGCGGCCATCTTGGAATCCAAGATGGCCGTTATGTAAAAACGTATGAATGCCATGTGCCCCCCCCCCCATCCTTCTCAAATCTGGACCTAAGCCACCTGACTACCCCCCCCCCTCTCTGTCCGTACCACCCCCTGCTTCCTACACTAGCATCACCGTCATCATCAAAGCATTCACAATCACAGCGGCTCGTCAGGAACGCAATATTAGGCCGACGACGAGAGCGCGCCTAATCTAATTTCTAATTTGCCGCGGCGCGACCGCCATTGTCCTCGGGCGCAGTCGTCGCCGTGGCGATGCCCGCTCGCTCCGCTCACGCTGCCGCGCTCTGTCGTGCAGGTTCCCAGTCCGTATCCACGGCAACGGCGGCTGCGGGCGCGACGTCGCCCGGGGTTACGAAACAAACGAGGAAGAGGCCAGAGGACTACATCTTTGGCAAGATCTTGGGAGAGGGATCTTTCGCGACGGTGAGAAGGATTTGAGTGCATTTTTCCTTTTAACGATGGTAATTTTGCACGTCAATTTACGCACGTATTACGTTACATCGTTTTCAATTTTTATGGCGTCGGATGTCGTGTTTTTCGTCTGTTGTGATTAATCATTGAAACTTGATTAATTAATTAAGGCTTTCGCTTGATTAATCAGCCTCACTAAAACCACTAAAACTGTTAATTGCCTTTGACAGGTGTTCCTTGCCCGAGATGTACAGACACATAAGGAATATGCAAGTATGATATGAACTTTGCAAATTGTAACGATTGTAGAGCATTCTTATCAATTTACATTGTCAGTGGCTGTTAATTTGAGTGAGATATTAGATATAGATATAGATATGTTTGACCTGGTTCGTTTAGCTATTTCTGACTAACCCTAACCCTAA